GGTCTAGGTGTTGCACATTCTAAGATAAAACATCTTGATTAGGTCATTTATGGTGATTTGAATGAGATTAAAAAAAAAGCTCGAGATAGAAGTAAAAATCAAGAGGGTTAAAAAAAAACATGATTAACCAAGAAATCAAAATAACAATTCATTTCTTTGTAAACATGTTGAATTTACAACGTTCAACTTCTAGCCAAACGAATTCTAATAGTCTGAATCAGATTAGAGCAGACGTTGAGCTGAATTACACTGTTCAATTTCTAGCCAAGCGAATTCTAATAGCCTGAATCAGGTTAGAGCAGACGTTGAGCTGAATTACACTGTTTAACTTCTAATCAAATGAATTCTAATAGCCTGAATCATATTAGAGCAGACGTTGAGCTGAATTACACTGTTCAACTTCTAGCCAAGCGAATTCTAATAGCCTGAATCAGGTTAGAACAGACGTTGAGCTGAATTACACTTCTAGCCAAACGAATTCTAATAGGCTGAATCATATTAGAGTAGATGTTGAGCTGAATTATATTGTTTAACTTCTATCCAAACGAATTCTGATAGTCTGAATCAGATTAGAGCAAACGTTGATCTGAATTGGTTCCTGACGAATCACTATGTTCGGAATATTTTTCTATTCAAAATGTATATTTTCTCATTTCAAAATCTAAAATATTTTCATATTTAAAATAATTTTTCAGACCCACATCAATGTTGTCTAATTCAAATAGGCCCTTCTAAAAATATAAATACACCTAAAATTTTTACCATATATATAATATATATATATATATATATAAACATTTTTAATTTTTTTCACAAAAAAAACATTTTAACCTAAACTTATAAAAAGGAGACTCGCACTTGTATAGTGTAGAGCTTACATTTTATCATCTTCATTTTGTCGTCTTCTTTCCTCCCTGTAACTCTATCCTCCTCCGTTTCTTTCGTTAAACCCTATAATCCTTCTTCTTTCCTCTCTGTAACTCTATCCTTCTCCAATTCTTTTGTGAAACTCTCTAATCTCCTTCCTTGTACCGGGCGCTAAGGTATGAGTATTTTGCTATTTTTTTGATAAAATGGAGTTTTTGCAGTAGTTTCCATCGTCTGTCCAGGGTTGAGCCCTGGGATTCGAACTGAAAAATCGTTTCCATCGATCTTAAGAAGACAAGAAGGGAAGAAAAGAGTTCACTGTCCCGCGAATTACTCCTCACAACGTTGTTGTGCTTCTCCCACGACGCTCACAGTCGAAGCCATGAATTCCTCTCTCCTCACAGCTTCTACTCCCTCCTCGACTCGACCTTCCCTTCTTTCCTCGTCTTCCATCAATCCTACTCCTCTACGGTTCAAAACGAGCTGCCGTGTCAAACGACGACGTTTTAGAGTCACCATCCCCCGCAACTCCGCTTCTTCTTCTGATCAACCTGCTGCTTCAACATCTGTAACGACTGCCGGTGTATTCGGAGGGAAGAAGGAGCTGAGCGGCATCCAACCGGTGGTCGAAAAATTGTCTCCGCCTGTCAGGTTAGCTACCTCCGCAATTATTCTCGCCGGAGCAATTGCAGCTGGTTACGGATTGGGGTTCCGGTTCGGTGGGAACCGTAATGTGGCATTAGGTGGAGCCGCTGTTGCTGGTGCTGCGGGAGGGGCTACTGTGTATGCGTTAAATGCGGCTGTTCCAGAGGTTGCAGCCATTAGTTTGCATAATTATGTGGCTGAGTTTGATGATCCTGGGGCCGTTAAGAAGGAGGATATAGATAGAATCGCTAATAAGTAAGTTTTTGCAATTTGAATTTCGATGTTGTCGGGACTTGTGAGACATTCTCACAGTTGACACTACTTGAACTTGTTTTTGCTTATCTGCTATGGTACTTACTGTTGGTTGCGCATCAATAGCTTGTTATATGTAAATTTAATAGTGATACATATGTATTTATATATATAGTTGGTTCTAGATAATACTTTCAATTTGAATTCTTGTGTGCAATATACAGAAGGCTGCACATTTTTTTAGCTAACTTATATTTTCATTTCCTGGTAAACACTGGGATTTGTATTTATCAATGTTCTAGAAAATTTATATGTCAACAAGTTTATCGGGCGATCCTATTATTGATAAACATTTAGTTATCTTGCTAGCTTTTTCTTACCAATTGCATTCTGCGGCTGTATTTAAAATTTTCAGGTATGGTGTGAGCAAGCAGGATGAGGCATTTAACGCTGAGATATGTGATATATACTGCCTGTAAGTGGAAATATGGAGTTTGATGTGTTCTATAAGTTTTAATTTGTGTATGTGTTGGGAATATTCTATTTGTGAGACGCATTTCAGTGTGGTTATAGATCACCTGGGTGTATTTGAGTATTTGCTTGTTAAGCTTCTTCATATTTCTATTGCCCCTTGGTTCTCAATCCAGGTTTGTGACTTCTGTCCTTCCAACTGGAGGGGAAGATCTTAAAGGTGATGAAGTTGACAAGATAATTAATTTTAAAAATTCCCTGGGGATTGAGGATCCAGATGCAGCTGCAATGCATATGGAGGTACCTATCTTTACATGTTTCTTTTGCTTGCAGAGAAAAATGTGCTCCTACTTTTTCATGAATAAATTCCAGTTATATTATCCTCAACTAGTTGTTTGATTTTTGTTCTGTAGATTGGCAGACGAATTTACAGGCAAGGGCTTGAGACTGGAGATCGTGATGGCAGTGTAGAGCAGCGTCGGGTAGGCCACTTGCTTTATTATGCAATTTCTTTTGTAACTACTGATTGTTAGTTTGAACAGAGATGTGGAATGTGATGATTTTAGTTCCTCTCAAGTGCAGGCATTTATGAAGTTGATTTATGTTTCAACTCTTGTTTTTGGGGAAGCATCATCATTCCTTTTACCATGGAAGCGTGTTTTCAAGGTTTCTGATGCACAGGTAATTATTTATGAATTCTTGTTTCTAGTTGGTTGTTGGGAGCATATGCTGTTTTCCTATGTAGAGTTAATTAATTTTGCTTTCCTTTTGAGTTACATGATATGTCTTAACGTTTTTCAAAATTTGACACTGATATATTTCCAGGTTGAGATTGCAATCCGTGACAATGCCAAACAGTTGTATGCTAACAGGATAAAGTCACTTGGTAGAGGTAAATACGATATAGCTTCACACAGTGAGAGCTATGTCTTAAATGCTGCATGATAAAGAAGAGTGGGAAGGATGTGGATGTACTTGATGGAATGAATCTCTTTACTTTTGAGTTGAAAGGGTTGCTTACAACAATTAATGATCATCTGCATTATAAGGATATTCACTGAGAGAAATTTGGTCAATCAGGATTTCATGGTTATTCTTTGTTTCTGCTGACTTAATATACATGGTTATTCTTCAGCTGTAAATCTTGTTTCATTTCAGATATTGATGTGGAGCAGCTTGCTAGCCTTAGAGAAGCACAGCGCTCGTATCGACTTTCTGATGAGGTACCGTGATCATAATATGTTGTCAACTTCAGACCCTATCATGTGTTTTTCTTATGGTTATTCTTTAGGTGTAATTTTCTTTTTCTTGCAGCTTGCTGAGGAATTGTTTAGGGAGCACATAAGAAAACTGGTTGAGGAAAGTATTTCATCAGCACTTGCTATACTGAAGTCTAGGACAAGAACAGTGTACGAACTTTTTATTGTTTGTTCACTGCCAAATTTTTAGGTTTTCTAATTACAAATATCTTTCATCTCTAAAAAAATACCACTTTTCTTTACCCTTGGTCCATTCTAAAAGGGAAAATGGCCACAGGAGTTCTGCTTCAGAATATCGTAATAAGCTTTCATGTTTTAGCATTTGCATCATTTGATAAAGTTATTGCATCCAGGAGGGGAGTTACTCAAGTTGTGGAAGTGCTTGACAAGGTGCTGGCATTCAATAACCTGCTTATTTCTCTTAAAAACCATCCAGATGCAGATCGGCTTGCACGTGGGGTTGGTCCTGTTTCTTTAATAGGTAAAGATCTTACCGGTGTTTTTTTCATGTTTTCATTCTGAGATTTGGACATGCCAAATCCTCAAGGTGATGTGGGTAATTGTCGATTATTAATGCATAATCTATGGCTCAGGTGGTCAGTATGATTTGGATAGAAAAATGGATGACTTGAAGCTTCTTTATAGAGCATATGTTACAGATTCTTTATCTGGTGGCCGTCTGGAAGAAAATAAGGTGAATGAATACTGTAATATATTTTGTAATGTATTTTGGAGTTATATTTACCAATTCAAATTAATTGTCTTGTTTGATAAAAGTTGAATCCCTGTATGAGGTCATTTGGTTCAGTTTTGTTCCTATTATCATCGACATTGTTGTTGTTTTTGCGAGAACAACACAGGACAATATTTGTTGGAGAGTTCTATTTTTCAAAATTTGACAATGCCAATTGTCTCATGACACGACTAAAAGCATGAACTCTGAATTTAGTCATCTAGGTAATTTTGCTCTGAGTCTATGCTTGTGATATCTGTGGCTTGTTTGGAGAAATCACCACAATCCTGACGGTCTTTCTGAGACTTGTGATGCTAATCTAGTGTTTCGGTTACTACAGCCTACACTTACTGCAGCTTTTTCACTTTCTCAGAATGCTTTTTGGTTTGTAGTAGATAGGTTGATTTGACGGATCTTCACCTTTGCTAAACTACAAAGGATCAGGTTTCTTATCCAGTGAAAAATTTGATTTATATCAGCTGAAAAGGGGGGGAAAAGGGAAAGGACCAATGTAGACTGGTATTGTACTGGCCTTGTTCTGGTAAAATACATAATACTTCTACTGGATATAATAAGTCAATTCGAGTTGTACTAGTCAAGAAATGTATACCTAGGCCAGTAACAGTTTAAAAGATAAATCAAGCTGTTGTTTTCCTTTTCAGCTATGTTTTTTCTTTTGACCTTTTTAAATTTATTTTCCGCATAATTTTTTTAAGTGAAGAAGTCTCTCCCTCCACTCGGTCCAATATGTCTATATTTCTTATTATTCAAGTTATTTTTATTTTTATTCATTTGATTTATTTCACCTTTCCATTTTATTTTTTCTCGGATTGCACAATCTTCTTTCTGTTAATTTCGGAAAGAGACATTTAAAACTAAGCATTATTATTTTTTTTTTCAAATTCTAATTAGTTTTGTTGATGTTAGAAGTACTTTAAAAAATTGTAATAGTTTAATTTTTGTGTGTACTTCGTATAGTAGATTTTTGTATATCTATGAGTTTGTCACAGTACATGTATAGTAAAACATAAATTACAAAATAGTGGAAAATCTGAAAGGAAACGATGAAATACACTGGTATCTAAACCAAACTGTTCCAAAAAGAAAACTGTGATATTTACCAGCATGTCGTTGAGCTACTTTAACACTGAAGATTCAGGATGGTAGTTGACTGTGAATGGAATTTCAGTCTTGCTTTCATATTACAGATTCTATAGATGTTAGTTTTGCATTTATGCATACGCAATTAATAATGCCAGCGAATCGCATTGGTTTTCAACTTTCTCAAATGGATGATTTTATAAAGTAAAAATGATCTTGCAAGCTTATTTTGTGATTAGGGGAACTAGCCCATGGCTTGAAAAACTTGTGGTGCCTTGTCTGTTTATGCCTGTATTGACTGTTGTTGCGTTCTCCTTTCTCATAGCTTGCTGCATTGAGTCAATTGAAGAACATACTTGGTTTGGGAAAACGGGAGGCTGAAGCTATTTTGCTTGATGTTACGTCAAAGGTATATCGTAAAAGACTCGCACAGGTTGTTTCCAGTGGTGACTTAGAGCTAGCAGATAGCAAAGCAGCATTTCTTCAAAATCTCTGTGAGGAATTGCATTTTGATCCAGAGAAGGCGAGTGAGATCCATGAAGGTAAGGCATTATATTGAAAGCAAATTCATTCTCTTAAACTATAACGCGATCAACATCTTTTGGAGGTTGGAGCAGTAAATTTTGATTTAGTACAATTTTTAAGTATTGTTTCTCTGAGTTTAGCAAGCATCTGACTTGTATACTTCCTTTTAAGAAATTTACCGACAAAAGCTTCAGCAATGTGTTGCTGATGGAGAGCTGAGTGATGAAGATGTTGCTGCTTTGCTGAAGTTACGAGTTATGCTCTGTATTCCTCAGCAGACAGTCGATGATGCTCATTTAGATATCTGCGGCAGTTTGTTTGAAAAGGTAACTGAGTTTATGTGAGGTTTAACTGAAAAATGTACCTAAGACTCTTTTATTGATTGTTTGGATTTCAGGGTTATTTTGGAATTCAGTACATGTCTTTACCTTTATTCATAATTAAACCTGGCCATGATTTCTGATTGACAACTAGCAAGCACCATAAATCACACAAAAAACATCATAATGCCGTTGTTTTGACATGTCACTTTGTTTGTTCCTTTCCGTATAAAATTAGTAACCAAAGTTTGTTCATATTGTTTGGACTTGTGTGCTAGTAGTTGCTAGACAGGCGAGAGGAGATTTGACATCTGAGAATGTGTATGAATATTATGTTTATATAACTGACGATCATGTATGCACTTCTCATCTACTAAATTCATAACTTAATATGCATTCGATAAATGTCAATAATAACAGATTAGAAATATTGATAAAAATTCCTGGAAACAGATTTTTTGATGCATAGACATTCTTGAAGGTTGTGTATATCTTGTCTTTTAAGTGAACTGGAAAATCAGGCTCTACTTTCTTTTGCCTTTTATTATACAACTAAGTCAATGGCTATGGGATTTGTTGAATCATGTCGCTTTATGTCACTTTCTTTTCCAGGTTGTGAAGGAAGCAATTGCCTCAGGTGTTGATGGTTATGATGCTGAAATTAAAAAGGCTGTGAGAAAGGCAGCACATGGCTTGAGATTAACAAGAGATGTTGCAATGTCTATTGCTAGCAAAGCTGTGAGTATGCATTCTCTATGGTCTAATTGATGGTTATAGATGGAAACTAATTTCCAAAAGTAATCTACCTCTGTGATAAATATGCAGGTTCGAAGAATTTTTCTGAATTATGTAAAACGAGCTAGAACTGCTGAAAATCGCACTGAGGCTGCAAAAGAACTTAAAAAGATGATTGCTTTCAACACCTTAGTTGTGACTGAATTGGTGGCAGACATAAAGGGGGAGTCTTCTGGTACTCCGTCAGAAGAGCCCACTACAGAGGAAGAAAAGCAACCTGCTGAGGATGATGAATGGGAATCCCTTCAGACCCTTCGGAAAATAAGACCTAGCAAGGAACTTGCTGCAAAGATGGGGAAGCCCGGCCAGACAGAGATAACACTCAAAGATGACCTTTCTGAGAGAGATCGGACTGATCTTTACAAGACATACCTGCTATTTTGTCTAACTGGAGAAGTTACCAAGATTCCTTTTGGTGCTCAGATCACCACAAAAAGAGATGATTCAGAGTATTTGTTACTAAATCAACTTGGTGGGATCTTAGGTTTGACAGCTTCTGAGACAGTGGCAGTTCATAGGGGCTTGGCAGAGCAGGCATTTAGGCAACAGGCGGAGGTGATTTTGGCTGATGGACAGTTGACCAAGGCCAGGGTTGAGCAGCTGAATGAGTTGCAGAAGCAAGTTGGATTGCCTACCCAGTATGCAGAAAAAGTGATAAAGAGCATAACAACTACAAAAATGGCAGCTGCAATTGAAACAGCTGTTAATCAGGGAAGATTGAACATAAAGCAGATACGAGAACTCAAGGAAGCAAATGTTAATCTTGACAGCATGATTTCTGAAAGCATGAGAGAAAACCTCTTCAAGAAAACCGTAGATGACATTTTCTCATCAGGTACTGGTGAATTCGATGAGACAGAAGTTTATGAGAAAATTCCATCAGACCTTAACCTTAATGCTGAGAAAGCAAAAGCACTTGTTCAGGATCTCGCACAAAGCAGGTTATCGAATTCACTGATTCAGGCTGTGTCACTACTGAGGCAGAAAAATCGCCAAGGAGTGGTACGGGATCTCCCATAAGCTTGTTAATTACATTATTCGAATTATTGATGTCTGTTGCTTATTTATCAGAGATGCATATTTGGATAGTTAGTTGGATTTGAATGTAAACGATTCCTATAAAGCTTGTTTACTTTTTTTGTAGGTTTCTTCGCTAAATGACTTACTGGCCTGTGACAAAGCTGTGCCATCAGAGCCATTATCGTGGGAGGTGCCCGAGGAGCTTGTCGATTTGTTTGCTATTTATACCAAGAGTGAACCTGCACCTGAAAAACTGTCTCGCCTGCAGTATATACTTGGTATTAACGATTCAACCGCAGCTGCTCTCCGAGAGATGGGGGATAGAACACTTCCTGTTGGAGCCGAGGAGGAAAATTTTGTATTCTGAGTCTGAATGTTATGGAAGAGTTTTGTTTATATAATTTTGATTTTAGAGAAAAGTATGGCAATTGAATTTATGAAATTTTGTCCAGTTGTAATAGATGTTTAGATGTGGTGAATATCTTCTGTCTGGATCTGGATTTTTATGGCTCCAAATTGTTAAAAGAGTTATTGTACCGATTTCTTTGCGACGCCAAAAATATTAACTTATTTTGTTCATCGCAAAAATATTTTAGAACTCAAACTCCGACTCAGTACCACCCGAAATTCATCATACTTCATAGGAAGTGAAGTGGTGGGCATGTCAAAATTTGATAACTTATTTGAGAAATCAGCCTATGTTTGTAACAAGCAAAATAGAAGAGTGTAAATATATCCCTTCATCAACACTATATAAATTATTAAAAAAGACCAAAAAAAAAAAGAGAGTTGAAGTTATTTGAAACAAACATAAACTTATTTAATAAATTTGTATACTTTGTTATTTACATAAATTATTAGTGTCATTGTAATAGTTTGATTATTAAATAAAAAATATTGTAAATTTTTATGTTGTTTTAAACTTATTATCAAAGATTACTAATCAATTACTAAATAATTTTCTTGACTATATTTATATATACATGAATTATGTAGTATATATATATATATATGTCAATCATAACATAAATAACATTCAAATAAGGATACATATAAAAGTACAGTCAGATTCGAACTCATGATCTTTTATAAAAAAATGAATATATCTATTATTCAATTTGAAATAGTATACTATTAGTTATATTTGTTATTCCTTTAATAACTCGGTATAGTAACCTAAGTGTTATATGAGTAGTAATGTTAATTTTCATTCTGGTACAAAAATATATTACTAATGAAACTTGTACATCCCTATATATATAACTTCAAAGAATATTATACGATAAAAGATTCTATTAAACTACTAAAGAAATGTGAAAATACAAGAGTATATACCCATTACAAAAGTTTTAATTAAATAACACTTCTCATTTTTACTTTTCCTTAAACTAAATAAAGGCAAGAAAAGACTCCATTCTTTTAGTTTGTTTGAGAACCATATAAACTGCCAATTTTTCCTCTCCTTCGTAAATCTTCTCCGACTTACAACTCTAATTAACATATTTTGCTATGTTTTTTTTATCGATGAAAAAGTCAAGATATCTGTTTTACATAGTCACTTTTGATTTTAAAAAATGACACAATATCCTACCATATACTAAATATGGCCCAATAGACGAGCGCCTTCTTGATTATGCTTTTTGGCTTTTTTCAAGTTAGAGGTTGTTTTCATTGCAGATCAGGATAAGAGAATTCTCCTTGTGGGAAAATGCAACTGGGGGAAAAGGAGACCATTCTCACCCTAGCCATGCTAGCGCGACGCGTCTATGGAGCCCTTTGAGTATCAGGACTAGTTCTTGTATAGTTTAACAATATGGGTTGACTCTAGCCAAAGATTTTTCTACTGAGAATTTCGCTCGTGCTTTAAACTAGAATTGATATTTGCCTATAAGAATCTGAAACAAGAGATATATATTACTATTAGTCCAAATAGCCTTCAATTATTTTGCTATGATATCATTTTTTATACAGTTTTACATCTTTCAAATATTTAAGATTAATAATACTTCTTAATATATTTATCTCTTATTACTGATAAGAATATACGATAAATAAATAAAAATATATTAAACTTTTTGATTACAACTTCTTAATCATGTTACGTGGAACGAAGGTATCAACCATAACGAGGATGATATGGTACTCATAAAAAATGTTCTCTCTCTTTTTGTTTTCTCTAAATTTAGTTACTGAAAAAAAAATTAACTATTTGCTTTTAACTCGTAATTGAGTTTCTAAAAACTTTTGAGGTTTATCATTTTATTTTCCTAAAAGAAAAATTTACTTTTACTTGCAACCCTTTTCAATTCATTGACTTAAAGGGCTTCCTTTTCCTAAAATTAAATTTACTCATGGCAATTACTTATTTTAGGGAATCCTATTATATATATATATACATATATATATGTATATCCTACACTAATTTGAGTAGATTTGTAGTGGGCTAAGGCTATGATCAAGGCTATGAAGAATTTAAAGTAGATATGTAGTGGTTAAAGTGGGGAAAGCATGCTAGTGATTTGGCAAACATTGTGATGGAAATTAAGGCAGTGTAGTGATGGTGAAGGGTGTTTACAAGAGGGGGCCTATCTCCAATACAAAAGACATGTTCAAGACATGTCTCTTACCAGTATGGTTATGATATTGGCAAGATAAAAGAAGAAAGCTTGAAACTTTCTCTAATAATTCTCTTTTTTCCCACCTTTCTCCCCCTTGAAAGTCACTTTTTTTTTTTCTATCTTTCTTCTTTTGACTTTGTGACCGATAGAGGGTTGATTATGTTTTCTCATATGTATGTAGATATGTATGTAGATATGTATGTATGCATCACATACAAGCAGTGTAGATTTGGCCTTGAGGACTCTTTTGTGAAGTAAGAAACCACTAGCTCACCACTTAGATGTTCCTTTTTGGTCATTCAACAAAAGAAGGCCGGTGAGGTCTCCCCCATGTCAAGGAATGAAGTTCATAATTGAATTTACATACAAAATGCCCAAAAGAAAGAAGAAAAAACTTTTGGAGATCAATGCAATGAATCTTGTAAATGGTTTTTTTTTTTTTATAAATAATTTCTCATAGATCTCAGTTGCTTTTGGGACCCATAAAAAGTCAATCAATTTTCCTCCCACCAATTACAATAAGTTTGTAAGTATGTATATGTATGTATATATATATATATTTATCTTTCCATGGGTGTATGTGCAACAAAGTTTGGATCTTGAATAGACAGAGACTAGAATTAATCAATGTACTTAGTTAAAGAGTACATTTTGTTTTGAACCTCAAAGAGGATGCCCTTATATGATATCTTCTCATTCTTATTTACAGAATTAAACTACATGCCTCTAGGGTTAAAAGATACCCTTTTCAGCATTTTTTTGCCCCCCCATATATATATATATATATATATATATAATTCTCTACCTACAAGCTAAGTACCATAGTACTCTTATGAGAATATGTATATATATATATATATATAATATTCAATGAATATCAATGCCCTCTTCTTTTCTAAGGTGGACTTTCAATATCTCCCATCTTCTTTGCAGAGTCGAAAGCAGTATAATTATTAAAATCCTCCCCATGATTTGCACCACTAATCTGTGAAATGCTTGGTGTAGAATCTGTACTTTTTGAATGCCATCTTGCCCAAAACAGATAGTTAAGGAAGTTGACAAAGCTGAGCACTGCTAGCATCCAATAGAAAAGATCAAGTCTGTCCTCGTTCAGATCATTTTCACTCAGCCAGCCATGATTTGATGAACCAGAAGTAATCTTGTTCACCATAGAAACCAGAAGTGAGCTCAGGTAGAACCCAAAAGAGTAAGAGCAATATGTCATTGCCGTTAAAAATGCCTGCATCCCTTTTGCTGATTGCTTGTAGAAGAATTCAATTAACCCTACTGCAGTAAACATTTCTGAAAGCCCAAAGATCAAAAACTGTGGGGTGATCCAGAATATGGACAAGATTTTTCCCGAATCCACCGCGGAATCCCTTCTTCGTTTCTCCATTATCGCAGCTGCAATCATGGAGAAAGTTGCGGCAAATAGACCAAAACCTATTCGCTGCAAAGGTGTGATTCCGGATTCGTGGCCCGTAAATTTTCTTGCGAAAGGGACAAAGAATTTGTCATAGAGGGGGACAATGAATATGAGTATAATGTAGGGGATGGCTTGAAGGGAAGCAGGAGGGATATGGAAAGATTTTGTGAGTTGGGTGTTCATGGAAGTTGCTTGTTGGACTGAGAAGGTCTGGAGCTGAGCTAGAATTGTGTTGAAGACGATGGTGCAAGCGAAAATCGGAACAACTGAAATCAAGATCTTTACTTGCTCTACTTGGGTTACTGTACATAATCTCCATGGACTTTCCTTTATGTTCGTCCCATCTTGATTAACCAGCTTGATGCATGCCTTGTCCAGAAACCTAACCACATCAAAATTTTACTCTTAAGTAACCCATTAATTAAGATGCTAATCTTTGTTAGAATATAAACAATCCATCGATTCATTTTCTACCAATTTAATCCGAGACAAGATAAAAATTTAGTATCTAAATTCTATTAGCTCGATTTCTATTCAAAAAATTAATTTTTTATAAAATTTAAGTGTTCGATTCACAATTTTAACTTAGTAAATATTTGATTAGTTCAATTTATATCAATATTTACTATTTATAATTTTAATGTATTAAGTAATTAAGATGTTATCTCTGTTATAAAATATTATATTATATATATATATATATATATATAGAGAGAGAGAGAGAGAGAGAGAGAGACTAGCTGAGTTTCTATAAAGAAAAAAGGTGTTGAAATTTAAAAAGTCAAATCACCTGAGCCTGTGAGTATGAGGTAAGCTGGAAGAGAGAGAGGAGACATTGTTGTTCTGGTTTCCATGAAGCAAGTGTGGAGCAGATGGAGAAGTCTGCTTTCTCTTTAATATAGCAGCTACAAAAACCTGATGATTGTAACAATGGAAATTAAAAATCCACTTTGAATATATATATATATATATATCTATATATTATTTAATGTAATTAACTAAACCAAAAAAATCAAATATGCTAATATATATATATATATCCACTTTTGTGTATATGATTAAAAAATATATTTCAATGTTATGACTGAGCAGGCAGCATGCGTACGTATCTTTATTATATATGTGTATATATATTATACTAATATTCAAACCCACATGTGCTCAAGTACTATTTTGATTTGTATATACATATATATATGTATATATATAATATAAACAACAATTAGAAAAAGAAAGAGGGGTAGCTGCAGTATATAATTAATAAGTATAGTGGAAGTAGCACATGGTATGTACATTTATATATATTATGCATACATATTATAATATATATATATATATGAATATTTTATAGATGGATCGACGAACTAATAAAAATAAATAATTAAAATTCTTACTTGGGCAATAGGAGTGAAAATAGTTCCTTGAGGAGGCTTATTTCTGTAGTAAAGTGTTCCAGAAACCAAACAGATCAAACCCATGGCCATGGCGGCTGCTGAAACTCCAAAACCCACATCCATTCCTGAGTGAGTCTGAACCCAGACAAGAACTGTAAGAGCTATGAGTTCACCCATGGAGAAAGCAAAGTAGGCAGCGTTGAAGTAAGTAGAAAGTTTCGATTTTGAGGTTTTGGGATTGAACTGGTCGGCTCCATGAGCAATCATGTTGGGTTTAACGCAGCCACTTCCTAAGGCTACCAAGTAGAGAGCCACAAAGAAAATCAATGCCTTAAAACCCTTTGCTTCTTCACACTGTGATGATCCTCCATTAATCATCATGTTGCATTTCTCTGGTTTTAGCTGGGGTAGATGTGCTTGGACTGATAGTAATATAAAACCCTGTAAACCAATATATACATATATATATATATTATATTAGTTACTTTTTTATAAACAAATCGAGAATCAAAATTGAACTATTATCTAATCGAATCCATCATTCACATTTCTAACAGAGAGGAAATAGACATTGAGCTAAGTAGGATTGAAACTAAGTACCAAACTTTCCTCTATATCTAATGGGAAGAAAGTAAGAATTGACTAATCCATGATCAAATATTTTACACATTTCTAACAGTAAGAAAATAATCACTTGAGTTAACTAAACTTGAAATCTATACTCATTTTTAGTAGTTAGGAAATATGATTTATTCAAAATAAGTAGTCAAATCACATCTTTCATTGAAGTTAGAACCAAACTATGACTTACTTTTAATAAATAAAAATATAATATATATATATATATATATATATATTCAAAACAAGTAAATGGGATTTCAAATAGTTGAGGAAAAATAAATAACTTATTTGAAACAAATGGTCAAACCCATCTCTCATATATTGAGGTTGGACTCAAGACCAGATTCATGATTAAATAGGGAGGCCATATATACATATACATATATATATATATATATATTATTTGGTGGGTATATTTATATGGTAGATGAGATGATGAGGTTAGAAAGAAAGACAAAAAGATATAGATATAAAGAGGGTATATGTGTGTGTGTATGTATGTACGTACAGAAAGCTCTATAAAGCCAAAGATAAGCATTGTCCAGAAGGAGCCGAGATAGGAATCTGAAAGGTAACCACCAAGGAGGGCCAGAAGAAAGACAGTTCCCACAAAGTTTGTCACTACGTTTGCTGACTTTGACAGCGAGAAGTGCATTTCATTTATTACGTACGTTATCAGGTTGTTCCCTACTGCTGCTATTCCCATTATCTCAAATCCTTGAAGTCCTGCACCAATAATTCATCCAACAAATTTTTAATCTTTTTCATACAGCTATACGTATAGGCGTATGCCTGTACATACACTTCATTAAATAAACAAAGCACGTTATAAGATATTCAAATCAGAATCCCCATATTTAATATATATATATATATTAAAAGTTAAAAAAACTCAGCCTGTCATGAACAAGATTAGTTATATATCTAGCTTAGCTAGCTAGCTACTAGCTAAGACATATATATATATATATATATAGACATGGGCAGTCTCAAAGCTCAAAACTTTATACATAAACAAAGCATGTCATACAATATATAGATCAGAATCCTCATATTTAATGTTATACGAAAAGTTAAAAACTCAGCCTTTCATGACCAAGCTTAGTTCTATATCTAGCTAGCTAGCTACAAGCTAATACACATATTTATACATATGGGTACATATATATATATATGGGCAGTCTCAAAAAAGTGTCAAAACTTTATACAGTTGATTGTATATGCATGTGTACATACATATATGTGTAAAAAGATATATATCTTTATTAAACGACACAAACACTAATCATAACAAGATAAAAATAATCTTTAAATGAGGATATAGGAGAGCACTCTGACTCAAATTTACCAACTCTCTGATAGATGTGTGTGTGTGTGTGTGTATATATATATATATAAAAGTAATAATGCAAAAGAAAGAAAGAGAGATAAAGAGGGGAGGATGGAGTATGAAAATATACCAAGAACAAATGCAGCAGCTCTCATTCCACCATGTTTGTCTGGATTGGAAGGTCTGCCTCTCCAATCAACAGTTGTAATTTCCTCACCCATATTATTATTACTCACCCACATGCTCTGATGATCACCTCCAGCTTTCTTCTTATTATTAGATTGTGTTCTTCCACCTTCCATGTCTTCTTCTTCTTCTTCCTCCTCCTCCTCCTCTTCAAACTCAGTAAAACAGGGAAGAGCTAAAACTAAGTTTCTGTAATTTCAAGCTTAATTTGAGGCGGAGAAAGAAGAGAAAAGTGTTGTGTTGAATTCAAGGGAAGTTGGTTTGAGTTTGAGTGTTGAATTAAATTTATTTATATAGGAGCTGCCATGAGTGAGTCACAAACAAACAGAGTTATATATATATATAATATATATATATATAATATAATATAATATTGTTAATTAATTAGGCAAAGAAGATGAAGCTGCAGAGAGAGAGAGAAAGAGAGAGGATTTTTCTTGGAAAGCCCCACACGCACTACCAACACGTGGATAACACTCACACCAATCAAAAGGCTTTT